CCTCTTGGCTCTCTTTATTGGTTATAAAAGGGCCCTTCGGGCCTGAGGCCTTGCCACTGGGCCCCTCGGGGCCCTCTCCATTGGGTTCGCAGGGGCCGTTCGTAATTTTAAGGTAGTTAAGCAAATAACTACGTCATGAAATTAAGAAAATGTGGGCCCCTTCGCTCACATGGGCCCCTTTCGGTCTGATTGGCCCCCCTGAAGAAAATCCTGGCTAAGGGGTCAGGGGCCCCTTGGGGGTCCTTAATTTGCTCAGAGAGTTTTCCTGTACATCAGAGGACCCGTCACGCGCGCCCAGGGGCCTCTTCATGCACTTAGAGGGCCCTGTCGTGTACTCAGAGAGCCTTTCTGTGGCTTAGAGGGTCCCGTGAAGCGATCAGGGGCCCATCCATGCACTCAGGGGACCCTGTCGTGTATTCAGAGGGGTTTTCTGTTGCTTAGAGTGCCCTCGTCAAGTTATCAGAGGCCCCGTCAAGCGAAGTTAAGACCTTGCTACTGGGGCCCCTCTGGGCCCTTTCCATTGGTTATAAAAGGGCCCTTCGGGCCTAAAGTTTTGCCAATGGGCCCCTCGGGACCCCTTTCCATTGTGTTCGCAGGGGCCCTTCGGACCTGAGACCCTGCCACTGGCCCCTCTAGTTTCTACACCCAAACTAATGCATCCGTTAATCATACATATCAAAACATACAGTTATCGCGTAAACCTGTACCTCTAGTTAATAATTAATAACAAAAATTATTCCCGATTTTTCGGGAATAATTTTTCTGCAATAACTTATGACGCTAATCTTGCACGAACTTTCTTTTACCAGCATCGTGTTCCTCTCGTCAAGACGTGTCGAAAGAACTATAAAGGTCACATGTCCTTTTCTACGCAGACGACACTTCACTGTATTCATCTCACTTACACGACAATCCAGACGACCAACGATCACTTCAAAAAGACTTGGACGCTATCAGGCAGCATGGAAAGGACTGGGCCATTACATTTAACGCCAAGAATACAGTGCGACTTAGCTTCACAAACAGACAGGACAGACACAATCTATCGCTTTTATTTGAAGGACAAGACTTGCCAACATGGACACATCACAAACATCTAGGACTGACGCTTTCCACTGACTTGCATGTTCACCATCACGTCAATAACACAGTAAGGACCGTGAACACGTTCCTTGGACCAATATATCCTGTAGCAAAATTCCTCCAAGAACCGTCCTAACTAGCCTATACACGACCTACATTAGACCACATACATATGCCCACCCAATAATCGGGAAGGAGCAGAGATAGAAAGTCGCGGGATGAGTGGCAGATAGGTCCCAACGAGTAGGTGCAGCCCATCGCTAAAGTAATGTGTGGTTTTACCAATCTCAACGGATGGCTTTGACCGACGATTTTTAAATGCGGACTGATTGAAAAGAAGACGTCAATAGATAAAGTTGTAGCTGCAAGGGTGAAGATACATGTAAGCTACATTTAAAGTATCGTTGCAATCTGGCTAATCGTTCCTAGGCTTCAGAAGCAGAACATACCCATGACTGAAACCACACATTACTTCTGCTGTGGACTGTATTTTCAAAAAACATGAAGCCTTCAGCAGTATCGGAGGTACAGCTTCGCCAAAATGTGCGTGTTTGTGTTTTTAGCGAGGCCCGACCGGAGCTGAGGCCGTGTGGAGTGTCAGTGTGGACAGGGCCTGGTGCGGGGCGCGGCGTGTCGGCCGCGGCTCTCCTGTGCCGACCGGCAGTGCACACTGCACAGCCACGGCGCGCTGCCGCCCCGGCTCAGTCGGCCTGGTGCGGTACGGCGGCCCGTGCCGTCACCCACCGCCGCACCGAATGACGTCACACGTCCTCTGGCATGACAGTGACGTCATTATATGACGCGACCTGACGTCACCGTGACCTGTAATGACGTCATGGGTCATGACCTCAGGTCACTCAGAGTCCAGCTTATGACGTCACAAGTCAGGTCATGTGGGGTCATTATGTGTTCCTTCAGGAACATTCCACCATACGAGAGAACATTCTGGTGGAAGGAGTGACGCTGCCGGCTGGGAGCGGGTATAAAGTCGGCGCGCGGCCGAGCATTGGGTCAGTGTTGGCGCCGGACGGAGAAGTCGGTGCCGAGTGGACTGTGTGGGTGGGTCGGACGCCGAGCTGTGTGAGGCGGGCCGCGCCATGCCGGCAGTGGTCGTGTCCGCCGACCGGCCGGCCGACGTGCCCGCCTGGATGGAGGAGTGGTTCATTGCGCCGCCGTCGCCGCCGCCGCCGCCGGGCCGGTGAGCCGCCGTCTACGCGGGGGCGCTGACGGCACACAGAGGGTCGTGTGTGGCAGGCCAGTAGCGCGATGGAGGTGATTTTAATGTATTATCCAAACTCGACAAGGAAATATTGCGGATATTTCAGTGGATCAGCAATGAGACTTGCTGTTCAACTCTGTCTGGATGCCGCACTGGTGTCCCTGATAACTGATTACATTGTCGCTGTAGCACCAGGTTTGGCTCACCTCCGGTCGGTGTGATCCATATTCCGCTCACATAATCCATAATTCTTTCCCACAGTAAAAACTCTATGCAACCACCGGCGCACCACAATATCTCTGTGCACTATATGCAACACTTTCTTTGGCTGCCTCTTTCTCCATGTTTTGTGTTTGTAACTGCCTCTGTCTCCATGTTTTTTGTTTGTAACTGTATCTGTCTGTCTTTATGTTTGTGACTCTCCCTCTCTCTCCCTCTCTCTCGCTCTCTCCCTCGCTCTCTCGCTCTTTCGCTCTCTCGCTCTCTCTCGTTCTCTCCCTCTCTCTGTCTCTGTCTCTCTGTCTCTCTGTCTCTCTGTCTGTCTCTGTCTCTCTCTCTCTCTCTCTCTCTCTCTCTCTCTCTCTCTCTCTCTCTCTCTCTCTCTCTCTCTCTCTCTCTCTCTCTCTCTCTCTATCTCTCTCTCTCTCTCTCTCTCTCTCTCTCTCTCTCTCTCTCTCTCTCTCTCTCTCTCTCTCTGTGTGTCTCTCTCTGTCTCTCTCTCTGTCTCTCTCTGTCTCTCTCTCTCTCTCTCTCTGTCTCTCTCTCTCTGTCTCTCTCTCTCTCTCTCTGTCTCTCTCTCTGTCTCTCTCTCTCTCTCTCTCTCTCTCTCTCTCTCTCTCTCTCTCTCTCTCTCTCTCTCTCTGTCTCTCTCTCTCTCTGTCTCTCAGTCTGTCTCTCTCTGTGTCTCTCTCTCTCTCTCTCTCTCTCTCTCTCTCTCTCTCTCTCTCTGTGTCTCTCTGTCTCTCTCTGTCTCTCTCTGTCTCTCTGTCTCTCTCTCTGTCTCTCTCTGTCTCTCTCTGTCTCTCTCTCTCTCTCCCTGTCTCTATCTCTCTGTCTCTCTCTGTCTCTCTCTTCTCTCTCTCTCCCTCTCTCTCTCTCTCTGTGTCTCTCTCTGTGTCTCTCTCTCTGTCTCTCTCTGTCTCTGTCTCTCTCTGTCTGTCTCTCTCTCTTCTCTCTTTTTTTTCTCTCTCTCTCTCTGTCTCTCTGTCTTTATCTCTCTCTCTCTCGCTCTCTTGCTCTCTCTCTCTCTCTCTCTCTCTCTCTCTCTCTCTCTCTCTCTCTCTCTCTCTCTCAAGGAATGTCTCTGTCTGTCTGTCTGTCTGTCTGTCTGTCTGTCTGTCTGTCTGTCTGTCTGTCTGTCTGTCTGTCTGTCTGTCTGTCTGTCTGTCTGTCTAAATAGCAAGGAAAAGTCACCAAATTTTGAGCCCCTAGCTTAAAGGTAGTGTGCCACCTTCCAATGATTTCCCATTTTATTTTTCCTAGGATAAGAACTAAGAAGCTTCTGTCTTTACCTAATATCGCAAAAAAATCAAAAATGGGCCTGGAATAGTGCCTTTTTCGCCTAAAAGTTTATCGGTTTTTCGATATGTATAACAACCGTAGTGGGCTGACCTGCAAACAGGCGTCGGCAACAATCGCGAATGCGGCGCACATGTGACAATAAGCAAAGGTCATTATAGAGTTACGACGTACGGGAATGAGTTATCAGCTGTCTAATCGTAGACAACACAATGTCGAACCTTAAACTGTAAGCCTGTATTGGTATTGTTTCTTTTATTTGGCTGTCGAACATTATTTATGGTTTGAAATATGATTTTATGTAAAATAATTGATATGAAAAAGCCGTCTCTTAAGTTATGACCCCATTTCACCACACGCAAGTGGCAGAAATGACAATGATCAGCTGACGCATTTTTCTTGGCCGAAGTCAGAGCGCGCGGCCCGACGCACCACCACCGCACCACAAAGTATGAGCAGAAGCCGCGCCCAAAGCCAGGGCCCCGGTAACGTGAGGTAGCCGAGTCGGGGCAGCGTGCGCTGAGGCCAAGCCGGGGCCGCGGCTTTGGGCGCGGTCTACCGCATCCCCGCGGGCAGCCCCGGGCTATCACATGACACCGGGAGGACGCGCGGCCCCGGCTTGGGTCAGCGCACGCTGCCCCGACTCGGCTACCTCACGTTACCGGGCCCTGGCTTTGGGCGCGGTCTACCGCACCACCTAACAGGCGTGTTCGAAACCGCAGGAGATGATGATGAACGGGTTTATCGAAACTTGATTGGATGAGCCTATCGGTAATAGCGATTTCAGTGTGTGCATTTATTATTAGTGGTGTGAAATGTGGTTGGGGTACGACCGACAACCCGTCGGGGCGAATTTCGCACTGGGGTACTCAAAATTTGAAGAATTTAAGACGTTTCCATGAGTTTTGAAGGTATGGATAAGTTCTAAAAATCCGGTTCTCTTTATCTGGGCCATTAACTCCATACGGTCCAGGAAAGCTGGCACACTACCTTTAAGTCGTTTTCCGTCTAGAGGACAAAAAAAAAAAAACTACAGTTGGGGGCCGATTTGGCCCCCCTCCACCCACCAGTAATAAGGGTATGCTTGTGACTGTGTCTTTGTTTTATGTCTCTGGCTCTGTGCTACGTGTTTGTTACTGTCTACTGTCTGTACATGTCTGTGACTGTCTGTCCGTTGCAGGTTTGTGACGTGCCCCAGTGCGCCGGCTGGAGTCCGGTGGCCGCCGTCAGCACCGAAGGGCTCGCCGAGCGCCACAGCCGGAGGCGGGACGCCGGCCGGCTGTCCGCTGTTGCCGTCGGTCGTCGAGGAACTGTGGCGGAGCGGGTCGGCCCTCGCCGCGCCTCTGAACGCCGCCGACCGCCGCCGCAGCCGCCGCCGCAGCCGCAGCTGGGGCGGCCAGCGGCGCAGCGCACGAGCCAAGCTGGAGCGGCGCGCCCCCGATGGAGGCCGGCCGGGCGGCGGATCGCCCGATCTGGCCGGCTCGCTGCCACAGACCGGCTCACTGGTGAGACCGCCCACACAGACACCCGCAGCGGTGGCCAGTCCGCCCACACAGACACCCGCAGCGGTGGCCAGTCCGCCCACACAGACACCCGCAGCGGTGGCCAGTCCGCCCACACAGACACCCGCAGCGGTGGCCAGTCCGCCCAAACAGACACCCGCAGCGGTGGCCAGTCCGCCCACACAGACACCCGCAGCGGTGGCCAGTCCGCCTCCGCCCACACAGACACCCGCAGCGGTGGCCAGTCCGCCCACACAGACACCCGCAGCGGTGGCCAGTCCGCCCACACAGACACCCGCAGCGGCGGCCAGTCCGCCCACACAGACACCCGCCCGGCCAACAAGCCGTGGTCGGATGGAAACAAGCTTCGTACCTACCATAAGCGAGACAGGGTACAGTTGCAGTAATCCATGAGATACGGTGGTGCGATTTATCAAAAGCCTGAACCAAACTCCAACCACTAACTTATACAAAGCAAGGTATACTTTCCTTGTTTAGTTGATAAAGCTGGTGTAATAACGTGGTGTGGCAGGTTCGTGCACGCACTGCCTAGGGGCACATTCGTGCATACTTTCTTCGTTTTTGTGATTTATGACCTTATCTGTAGTAGGTATCACTTATGACGCTCGCCTGACTCAGTCTCGGCTGCTTGCGACGTCGTGACAAGTAATTCACGCGACCTTGGCGAGATCACGGAGGCTGGCAGTTGGCATATTCTTGTTGGCCAGCCCATTCTTTCTCCATAGTTATGTTTTGCAATGCATTCTTGTTGAAAGGAATCAAGTGAAATGACCCCCTGCTAATTTCTTTTGGTAAATTTCTGGTAATGCCCGGTAATTCCTCGAATTTTGTAGGGTGCACGGAAGTGCCCCACCCCTTGCACGAATGTGCCCCATTCCTGGGGCAGGTTCGTGCAAACGTTGAGAGTTATTAACCCTCGCCGGCACAGGCCATTTTGAGTCCTTCGACGGCACAAGGGGGGTGGGGTTGGTATGACCCCCCCTCGCGTTTGGCCCCTGGTGGAGCTAGAGCTTCGCGGAAAAAACGAGCGTGTTGCCCGTCACGAGAGAAAGCCAATGATACCCAATTTTAAGGTCCTAGGTCATCGGTTGACCTTCCAGTTCAGGTCAATGACCCAAAAATCGGTAATATCGGGACCTGTTAGAAAGTCGTAAAGCGTGGCTTCTAAGGGGTTTTCCGGGGTGGTGATCACGAATATCGTGTTAGTGTTGATCACAGATGCTGTCGTTAAGCGTTTAGACCAGGTCGGGTCAGGTCAGGTCAACCGGTAGGGGTCGTGACGGGTATTCGTAGTACCTGTCATCCGCCTCTGACAGCTTCGTAACATGTTACGAAGGCACCAAAACTACTTCGTAAATGTTCAAATGGTTGCTGAATTCGAATTCAGCTCCAAAAACTAGCCTAGAAACATGTAAAACTCGAAAAAGTGAACCGAGGTCACCAAAGGTCAATGACCTAACCTGACCTTCAGGTGACCTTGACACCCACCCTAATGTATGGGAGCAACATCAAATCACATGTTTGAACGTTTGAAACCACGGAAAGCTTGCAAATGCGCGGCTAATGCGAGCCGACATACGCCGAATCGCGATTTCGGCCAAACATGGTCACGGAAAAGAGGTCACAGGTCAAAGGTCATTGGGGTCAGGGTCATGAAATTTTCAGGGTAGGTGTAAAATTGATCAATGCGAGGTTACGGAAAGTTTCGTCGCGATCGGCCGCTTTTTACGCGAGTTATTCGCGAAAAACCTTAGGGGGGCTCCATAACCCTAGCCCCCTGTGCCGGCTAGGGTTAAGTCATTTTTTTCTAATAGAAGCGATTATTAAAGAGGATAACTTTTAAACAGGAAAATATCTGCAATAGTTCCTTTCCTTTTCCATACTACTACCAACAATTTTGCCATTGCACCAACCAAAGAACAGATATATGGATTTATCCATTTTTTTGAACGAATGTGCCCCACTCTCCCCTACCATTTTCCATATCGTGAGGTGCTGAAACATATTGACTGATAGGTCATGAACTGGCGAAGCTCAGACAAGGCGGACAAAAATATGCGATGGCTCGTAGCTGTTTTCTCCAGTTGGAGCTTAAATCGATGCTAACTACGAGTACCGTGTGTCTACGGTAACTACGAGTATGTCTTCCAGGGGACAAGAACTCCAAAAATTGGCGCTGTGACCAACATTTTTTTTTTCTGCGTGAACTTTTTACCCAAGGCTGTCACGGTATTGACATTATCATCGCCGTCTTTCTAGCGTTAAGATGATTGATGAATATTCTGTGCCCTCAGAATGAAAAGTTGAAAGGTGATCTGCATTCTTCATTTTGACCTAAGAAAGTTAGATTAAATACCCGAGTGGAAAATTTGACTCAATGAATATTTTCAACAACTGACTGCAAGGTAACTTGCCATAAAACAATATTGCATATCAGTCTGTGCTCACAATCTTAGACAGCATACTCTCACTTGTTGGACAGATACGTACATATACCCTTGCGTATACCTATTTCTTAGGCATTCTATAAAATGTCTGAAAATCAGGCACCTAGCCATTCTATATGTAGAATGCCTAGAGTCTGGACGACCAGTAGATAATGCCTGGTCGGTCAGGCATTCTATAGAATGCCCGATTCTCTGCTGATTACTCTGCTGCTGCCGTTTTTGGGCGTGCGTGGCCCCCAGCTTTCCTTGAGAACTGTGACGATTCCCCTTTACTTGATTCCTCTCGCCTTTTTTCGTTCATGACGGCCTCCGGGCTTAAGGTGCTTTTTAGCCGCCGACTTTGAGGAAGAATGGTTGGTTATGGGCGCCATATAGCTGGTGCGCCCTAAAACACCAAATTATCATCATCATACTCTGCTCCTGCCGAAAGCGCCGAGCCGTTTCGCTGGCTGGTGGCGCGGTTCCCCGTCCCCGGTCCGCCGCGGCTCGGGGCGGCTCATTTTCCCCGTCCCGACTGATCGTGCCGGACGTCCGCCAGTGCCGCACGCCGTTTTGGCGCCGTAGCCGGTCGCTCGTGGACGCCATGCTGCGTCACCAGCAGTCACGTGACCGTAGCGCCAAGGTCACGAGCGGCGGCCGCGCTGCGCTCCGACGGCCGTCGACCCCGCCGCGGCTGCCGAGGCCGCGCTTGTTTTGGTCAGGCCTTGGCGCGCTCTCGGAGCCACGTGACCGGCCGGGGCGTGTTTGTTGTCACGTGTGCCGCCCCGGGTAGCGTCGGTGACGGACCGAGAGCGGGAGGGGGAGGGGCTGAGAATTACCGGGCCATGGGACGTCTGTCAATTCAGCAGCAACGAATATCAGCCACACAGCAGCACATTTCGGGGTGTCTCAATTTTGCTCTAAATTGGTATTAAGCTTCCAGGTGCATTTTTTTGCCGCCTTTAGTTTTTTTATATCTCCAGAACGGCTACGCCGATCGTCACATCACCAAACTTTCAGTACCTTCCGTGGAGTAGCTATTACACATTGTGACCAATTTTTTTTTCCAAAGGCTATGATAGGTTGGCCGCTAATGACGTCGGAGTGACGTCATTTCTGCCATTTTCGACCCAAAACAAGTTTCGCGGGAAGAGCTGTCACTAGAGAATCTGTCCACGGCTACGAGGTACAGCCCACCGCTAAAGTAATGTGTGGTTTTACCAATCTCAACGGTTGGCTTTGACTGGCGATTGTTTAATGCGGAGTGATCGAAAAGAAGATGTCAATAGCTAAAGTTGCAGCTGCAAGGGTGACGATACATATAAGTTACTTTCAAAGTTTCATTGTAGTCTGGCTAATCGTTCCTAAGCTTCAGAAGCAGAACATACCCATGACTGAAACCGCACATTACTTCTGCTGTGGACTGTACTTCCTGCCGGCGTGATCGGCGAAGTCGATGTGTAGTTCCTGGATTCTGGAACGGCCTTTCCGCTGGCGGTCTCCTCATATAATCTCTATCTCCGTCACTTGTGTCTGGTCTACCATCTTTGTCTGTCTTTCGTCTACCGTCTGTCTTCTGTTTTTGCTCTATCGTTTATGTATTTTGCATGCTGTCCACTTAAGTACCGTCTACCGTTCATCTCATTGTCATTTTGTCTCCTCTTCCTTTTTCTTTTTTTCTCCGTCCTTATTTGTCGTAGAACAACTTATTAAAAGTCCATGGCATGCAAACAAGTGCGCCACTGTACCGCGCCGCGCGCGCACCACCCGCACGCCGGGAGCGCGCCACTGTACCGCGCCGCGCGCGCACCACCCGCACGCCGGGAGCGCGCGCCACTCTACCGCGCCGTGCGCGCAACATCCGCACGCCGGTTGGTCAGGAAACAGCGGGGTCTGTCGATTCGGCTGAAAATTGGTGTACAAAGCCTCCTCAATGCGCTGATTCTGAAAATGTACCTCTTTTGAGGCAGTATTTTGCATCATTAACGAGTTAATGGCCTGTTAACATTTGAGAAATGTTGACGGACCGTTAACTCTTTAACCGCGAAAAATACCATCCTTAGAAGGTTCACTTTCGGAAAAAGTGCATCGAGGAGGCCCTGTATACCGATTTGAGACACCCCGAAATATGCTGCTGTGAGGCTGATATTCACTGCTGCTGAATTGACAGACCGGGTTGACAGACCGAATTGATTGCTGAATTGACATGAGCCGGCGAGAGCCGGACTGGCGGCGGGGACGGCGCAGATACCATCTACTGTTGCGCGGAGGGCGGCCGGATTCTCCAAACTGAGCTGTTGATGGTAGTTAAAATTTAACGACTTACTCCCGTTATGGCTATGATGGAGCCATCACTTGTCTGTGTGTGCTTCTTAACCCCTCGCCGCCGTCTAGGCTCCGAGGGCTTTCGTTAACGTTGGGCTGGGCCCTGTTTCACGGCCGCTGCTAGCGCGCTGCCATCACACGTTTTAAATTGGGTTTCCATGGAGACATTAACAAATCGAATCTCCAACACTACTGCCACAATGTATGACGTCAGCTCGCGAAGTGCGCTGGCAGCGGGGCACCAGCGTCCAGTGAAACACCGCCCTAATACCCGAGGCACGTCATCGTTTGGCGCTTGTGACGTCAGCGAGTGAATCGCGTCATCGCCCTTACACATACTATCAGGCAGCCGAACAGCGTCACTGTGACCAGCTGCGCTTGCCTCTGGTCTGTTTGTGTCGGCGAAAGCCTGCGGGTGGGTTTGTTGGTGAGGGGCCGGGCGACTCGGCGGCCTCTGCACCGCTGCCTTGCAGTGTTGCCGCTGACGGTCCGTGCTCGGATCGATGCGCCGCTGACCGGCTCTGCCGTCCGTCCACAGATCCAGCGGGCGCTGGGCGTGGGGCTGAGCCCGCCGCCGGCCGGCGCCGCGGCCAGCCGCACGCCGCCCTCCGACGCCCTCTGGCCCATGGACATGGACCAGCTGATGGATGCGCCGCCGTCGGCCTACTCGGTCGGCGTGCCGATCCCGGGCCGGCAGCAGTGGCAGTTCTCGGGGCCCGAGTTCACCGAGATGCGCGCCGGCCGCGCCGAGCCCGAGCTGGCCACCTCAGCCGGCGGCGCCGGCTCCTTCCCGCCGCCCACCGACTACGGCTCCAGCCCGAGCCCGGGCGCGCCGTGGCCCGTGCACGCCGACCTGGCGCGCAACCTGGCCGGAATCCAGATCGACGACTTTGACCTGGAGGACGTGGACGTGGCCGACCTCATCAGCGGACCGATGCGCGAGCCGACTCTGACCGAGCTCAACGCCGGCGACGACCTCGGCGAGCTGTCGCTCGACTTCGCCGGCGACTCATTCGGTGCCCCGGCGACGCCGCTCGTCAAAACGGAGCTGCTCGACGCGCCCGTCAAGAGCGAGTGGGCGCCCTTCTCGTCATCGATCCCGGCGTCGTTCGCGCCGCAGACGGGGGCGCCGCTGGTCGGTCAGCACGACCCGATGCTGCCCAGCTTCCCGACCGGCGGCGGCGGCGGCGGCGGCACCAGCGGCGGCCGTCTGACGCTGCAGGCGCTGCTGGCGCAGCCGGCGGCGGCGCCGCGGCCGTCGGGCGCCGCCGGCCGACTCAGCAGCTCGGTGCCGTGCGACAGTCACCTGGAGCAGCAGCGCGCCGCCGGCCGGCTGGGCCCGCTGGCCGCCGGCGCGCGCGTCGACGAGCTGCGCGGCTCGAGCTCGTCCGTCTCGACCGGTGAGTGGGGCCGCCGGCCGGCACTGCCGCTGGCCGCAGCGCCACGGACGCGGCCAGTCGCACAGGCCGGTGGACCGGCATTGCACGGTGCACACGGACCATCCTGGTGCCAAAACAGGTCCGGACCAGTCCGCGTATCGGACGGTCAGTCTAGTGCCGTGGCCTGGTTTTCCCCCATGCTTGTTAGAAGGAAGTTGAGCGTGATGACTTCAGTTGTGTGTCCTTTGGCTTCTCTAGTGAGAAGCGCCGACCAAATGTGTACCCGTATTCGTACACAGCAGCTCATGCCTTCTAGTGTACGTTCTCCTGAAGTATTCCTGGTTTCTTGGCCGCCTCAGAAGGCGCTCGCAATGATCGTAGTTGGGTGGTCCCCGATTGCCCTGGAATTGCTGTATGTGAGCCGTGCGTGCACACAGATTCAACTGTGGCACAACAGTGGCCATAAGTTAATGTTCTGAAATCTTCCCAAATTATTCGTTTGTGGCGTAGAATAATTTGAAAAGCACGAGATCACTTTCGAAACCCTCTTAACCCTCGCCCATGTAGGGGGCGAGGGTTGGTTGGTGCAACCCCCCCTGAGGTTTTTCGGAAATAGTGCAAAAACGGCGGCGCTGCGCCAAATTTTGGGTACCTTATGGGGCAAACCTTGCGCATCTTTTGATAAAAAAATTTGACCGGGTCATGTCAGGTCACGGAGTTATGACGTCACAAATGGAACAGCCTCCGGCCGGATTTTCACAAACTGAGTGCCAACGCCCGAGGTTTCCTGCCGGTGGTACGGAGATCGGTTGATGGATCGTGATGAAACTTCCCATGCATGTTGGGGCAAGTATTGGCTATCATATGGTATAAGAAACTTGACCGGGTCAGGTCAGGTCACGGAGCTATGACGTCACAAGAGGAACAGCGTCCGGTACTATTTTTGAAAAGCGCCCGAACCACTATTTTGCTAATTCTTGTCACCTCAATGGGAATATGCAGCAATATTAGCTTCTATAGGGAGCAAATGAACCTCCCAAATCCAAAAATAAATCAGATTTCAAAAATTTAAATTTTGATTTTTCGAATTTCTGCCGCCGACTGTGACCTTGCCGACTTCCGGCGCTCCCAACGCGCCATTTTTAGAGCTAGGGAAACGAAATACATACCAAACGATAGAGAATTGATCAAGGAACACGATAGTGAAGGTTTCAAGTCGTTATCTCCCACCGTTTTGCCGCAATCGCCGCCGAAAGTTGAAAAAAGTCTATTTTTCCGAAAATTTGACCTTTGACCGGTCAAAAGCAGGTCAAATGTTGACCTAGGACCAAAAAATATACCACCAATCGCGAGATCTCGGCGAGAGCAATCCGTTGGTCTTTTCCGCTAAGCTCTACGACGCTCCGTTTTCAAACGCCAAGGGGGGGGGGGTCGCACCAACCCCCCCCCCTGCATGGGCGAAGGTGGCAGATCGCCGTTTACGGGCGAGGGTTAACCCGGCAGTTGCTGGGGTATTTCGCCATCCACCAGTTGTTGTTGGGGGGGGGGGGCGTGAAAACTCCCAGTCGATAACTCGGAACGAATAATGGCAGCCAGGCGGCAAGCGAAAGAACGCAACGAGAGGCTTTTGATCAGCATTTTAAACTTTGCCGCTCCCGGCCGGGATGGGCGTAGACCAGAAGAGAACAGTGATTCGGTTCATAGTGTTACAGAAAAAAGGCACCAAACGTTATTCACGAAGTTATCGGTGGAGCCAACAAATAACAAAATAGCACTGCAAAAATAACACTACAAATAGGATGAACAAAAACAAGTGTCGCGTTCCATGAAGACTTTAAACGTAGCCAGTGTTGACGCGTTTGAATTTATCTCTGCTATGTTCTCAGTGTGTTTGAAATATGTGCTTTTCAGACGTACCTATATTTATATTTTAAATTGTAATTTTGTTCTGACGAAGGTTGTTTGAAACCGAAACGTCAATAAAAGTACGTGCATTTAGTTATTTGTTGGCTCCACCGATAACTTCGTGAATAACGTTTGGTGCCTTTTTTTCTGTAACACTATGAACCGAATCACTGTTCTCTTCTGGTCTACGCCCATCCCGGCCGGGAGCGGCAAAGTATGTTACGTTCAACTAGCAGCCTGAACTAAGAACAGGGTAGAATGGTTAATGTCCACGTAAGTGGACGTCCCAATAACACATTATTGAGCTCACCGCGTTGCGGGCCGGAATTCCAACTCTTTCATTGTTTGGCCGAAAACTTTTTGAACTCCCCTGTAATTTCGAGTCACATGGCGGTCAAAAGCTTATTCCAAGAGTGGCCGTTTTTCTCCAATTTATTTACAACTAAAAGTCCACATTAGATGTCCGTGCACCCTGTGCGGCTGTCTGTGTGTCAGAATGTCGATCCAATTGGCGCGAATGGTGCTGTTCATATGACCCGTGAGCCACTGGCCGCTGGTTCTATCGGTCTATTTGGTGGTCTCTGTTAATGCTGATGTCCCAGACTGGTGTGCCGGGGGCTCTGCCAGTCTGGGTGTGCCGGGCCGGGGGCTCTGCCAGTCTGGGTGTGCCGGGGGCTCTGCCAGTCTGGGTGTGCCGGGGCTCTGCCAGTCTGGGTGTGCTGGGGCTCTGCCAGTCTGGGTGTGCTGGGGCTCTGACAGTCTGGGTGTGCCGGGGGCTCTGCCAGTCTGGGTGTGCCGGGGGCACTGGCGGATCCAGGGGGCCACGGGGGCCATGCCCCCCCGCCAAAGGCCTAAAGTGGCCTGTTTGGCCCCCCAAAACGTCAGAAAAATTGCTAAGAAAATATACCTTGATAGAGGTTTTTAGCCACTTGGTGAAGTAAAGCTTTCCACAGCATAATATGGAAGCAATATGGTAGCAGTGAGGGTCAGTCAAAAGTTGCGCGAGCGGAGTCGACCTTAAAAAAAGACTTGTTGGCACGTGTTTATGGCGCGGCAGCTGGTAGTTGGCGGTGCTTCGCGTGGTGTGGCATCACTGGCGGATCCGGGGGAGGGGGGGGGGGGGGGGGCACGGGAGCCTGAGGTGCCCCTGACAGGCCCGTGGTGCCCTTGCTAGGCCTGTGGTGCCCCTCCCTGGACCCTGGCAGGCCTGTGGTGCCTCTGGCGGGCCTAGGGTGTCCCTGCTAGGCTGCTGATGCCCCTGGGACCTGACAGGACTGTGGTGCCCCTGACAAGCCTAAAGTGCCCCCAACAGGCCCGTGATGCCCCCGACAGGCCCAAGGTGCCCCTGCGTGATGCCGTGATGCCTGCGAGGCCGGTGGGGCCCCTCAGGCCCATGGTGCCCCTGCGAGGCCGGTGGTGCCCCTGCTAGACCGGTGGTGCCCCTGGCAGGCCTGTGGTGCCCCTGCTAGGCCGCTGGTGCCCCTGGGCCCTGACAGGACTGTGGTGCCCCTGAAGGCCCAAGGTGCCCCTGCAAGGCCGGTGGTGCCCCTGCAAGGCCGGTGGTGCCCCTGTAAGGCCTGTGGTACCCCTGCTAGGCCTCTGGTGCCCCTGACTAGCCCATGGTGCCCCTGCGAGGCCGGCGGCGCCCCTGGCAGGTCTCTGGTGTCTCTGACAGACCTGGGGTGCCCCTGACAAGCCTGTGGGGCCCCTCACAGGCCCGTGGTGCCCTTGCTAGGCCTGTGGTGCCCCTGGCGGCCAGGTGGTGCCCCTGCTAGGCCGGTGGTGCCCCTGACAGGCCTGTGGTTCCCCCGGGCGTACCAAGGGGGTTCATGACCCATGTGGCCCCCCTTGGATCTGCCACTGATACATAATATATACCGTAAAGTGGGGCTATTTGAGACAGTGGGGCTATTTGAGACAGTATTTAAAATCGCTATAAAATGAAAAGCGTTTGATTTTTATGTGATATTTTTGCTCAGGATGGTGTGGAATCGAGCAGTATATCACCTGAACAAAAATTAAGCATAAATTTCAAACGGTTTTTATTTTAAAACAATTTTAAATACTGTCTCAAATAGCCCCACTGTCTCAAATAGCCCCACCTTACGGTATTGATTTGTAAAGGCATTATGGCTTATGCAATATGCAATTGCAGGCACTTAGTATCCCTCACATATCCCTCATTGGGGGCTCTGGCGGGCTCCTGAGGGCCCACGTCTATCTCCGGGAGCCCTAGACAGGCTCCTTTGGGTCCTTTCAGTCCACTATAGCATAAGAGGTCTCCATGCGAGTCCTATACATCTGAGGGCGTACCCTGACGTCTGAGGTACCCAACTGCAGCTCCAATGGTCTCTTACACTGGCGGATCCAGGGAGGGGGCATTTAGGGCCATGCCCCCTTCCCAGAGGCCTAAAGTGGCCCGTTTGCCCCCTCCCCCAAACGATAATGAAACATAGTTCAATCAGTGCGTGGCCCAGGAGCCGAGTTAGACAGGGGGTGTTTTACCACCTCCCGGCCCGCAAAGGGACCCTAACACTGACTCGAAGCGGGTTAACTGGTCGACAAAAGCAATGGTAGGTGTTTACAAAGTAATATAAAGGCATGGGTCGGGTGGGCTACCATTTATATATTTTTCTTTTTAGTTTTAAAAAATATTCATAGTGTCAGGGCTGTGACGAAAAATAAGTGGCCTAAATCCGATGAGAAAACAGGATTTGGGGGTACCCTAGGTTTGGCTCCTGCATGAGTTGCCCCCCCCCCCCAAAAAAAAACGCAAGCCTGGATCGGCCAGTGGCCGGAGGCTCTGCCAGTCTGGGTGTGCCGGGGGCTCTGCTAGTCTGGGTGTGCCGGGGCTCTGCCAGTCTGGGTGTGCTGGGGCTCAGCCAGTCTGGGTGTGCCGGGGCTCTGCCAGTCTGGGTGTGCCGGGGCTCTGCCAGTCTGGGTGTGCCGGGGGCTCTGCCAGTCTGGGTGTGCCGGGGGCTCTGCCAGTCTGGGTGTGCCGGGGCTCTGTCAGTCTGGGTGTGCCGGGGCTCTGCCAGTCTGGGTGTGCCGGGGCTCTGCCAGTCTGGGTGTGCCGGGGCTCTGCCAGTCTGGGTGTGCCGGGGGCTCTGCCAGTCTGGGTGTGCCGGGGGCTCTGCCAGTCTGGTGCTGCTCTCAGTGGCTGTCCGTCTCGGTCCGGCCCGGCCCGCCGATTACCGACCTCTGCAGCGGAGCAGGCGGGCTCCGCTGCAGCCGCCGCCGAGCGGTGCCGCTCCGGCCGCCGGGCGGTGCCGCTCCGGCCGCCGGGCGGTGCCGCTCCGGCCGCCGGGCGGTGCCGCTCCGGCCGCCGAGCGGTGCCGCTCCAGCCGGCCAGCCCGTATGGCGACGCAGACATATTATAAAACATTCATTGGGAGCAGTTTGGCCGGAGTACTCCGTCGAGTAACTTTGCGAGGCAAACCATCATGAATATGATGCCGATGGCCTGTGGGTGAGTTGCGGAGAAAAGTCCGTGAGCCGTCGTACCTACCCAGATGAAAAGTTGCCAAGCACATATTCCTACATGTCAACTTGGGCTATAAGATGTCCGTTGAGATGCGAGCCGGCTGCGGTATGCGGCCGGTCTGCGCCGGTCGAGCACGGCTCACTGAGCAGTCGGCCCGCCCGGCACGGCCCCGTCTGCCGGACCGAACTGACCAGCGCGCCCTGCGGCCGGCCCTCTTTCACGGCACGACGCTACAGCGAGCTACGCGTATCGGTGTATTGGGTTTCCATGGAAACATCAACAGACCCGGACGCTCGCACCGCTGGAGCCCGCCGAGGCGAATTCGCCTCAAACGCCGCTCCAGTAAAGTCTCTCTTGAAAGCATCGCGACTCTTGAGGGGAAGGCGCCACCCGTCCCAGCCGCGGTTGAGCGGAAAGTTTGAGAGCTACTGTTAGCACTGATCAAAGCCTGACACGCGGTGGCAGCCAGCGCGGCGGGCGAGGGGAGTGGTTATGGGAGGGAAGGGGCATGAGCGGCCGGTCGCCGTCCGGTAACTTGTGATGGCAGTAAGCGTGTGGTCAACGGAAGCTACCCTTTTCACAGAGGATTTGTTGAGACTGGTTTAATTACAAAGCTGAAAATTTGACCCGTCATCGGCACGACTACCACAGGTTTTTGGTGCGCGGCCAGAAAGGAGCCCGCATCAGTCGTCAAGCGGGTGGTTGCCGATGCATGCTCAACAAACGTCATTGATCTATCCAAAACTAGCTAAACGACAGATCAGGATCAGCTACAAAACATTCTACTTTTCGCCACTATCTTCGACAATTTTTTGGAATTTTTGGGTCTCTGGACTCTGGCCTGAAAAAATATGGCCAAAGTAACGGAAAAGCAGCGCAAGTCACTGCAATTCAGCCAAAAATCATATATACATATATATATATATATATATATATATATATATATATATATATATATATATATATATATATATATATATATATATATATATATATATATATTTATATTATATACACATATATACATATTATATACACATGCCACAAAATAGTAAACTGGAACACTGTGTTCTGACGAATGTGTGCTGACCCTTGAAAAGCCCGAAAAAAGGTGTGTAGACGTCAGATGGCGACAACGCCCAACAGAGGAGACGGCCAGGTATCCATGGAAAATCAAAGTGTGAGGCAGTTTGAGCCACGGTGCGCTCAGCCCCAAAGACGACCGATAACACATAGTACTAGTTACTACTGTGGTAATATTCTAGCATTAATATTCGGCAGAAACTGGGTGCCGCGAACCAAATGGTCATGAACGGGTTTGTTTTGGAAACCAAACCTGATTGAAGCCAAAGAATGCAGGCATGAAAAACAACAACAATGCTAGAATGCTAGAACAGTGGTGTAGGTCGACTTTTTTGTGAGAATGTCTTTGGCCTGAGAGTACTTTGGATTTTTATCTAATCATTATTATAATCATTTTCTATAGATTATCGAATTAATTAAATCTAAAATGATTGTATTATCCTCCGGCTGGCATTTTTTCACCGTTGTCGGCTAATCTTGTTACTACATAGACTGTCCTTGCATGTGCCATTTCATAGCTACCTAAGTTGCTATCATAGCTATCGGACGATAAAAAGAAAAAGTGCATTTATTTTTTGCCTTATCTTATACGATAATACCTTAACGATGTTCGAGTACTTCTGGGACACCCTGTAGGTAATAGGTTGCGTTCGATATTTTGCCTGTCTGATATTCTGGCTTCGATATTTTGTCTTTTCGATCTTTTGTCTTTCGCTATTTTGTCCTCTACTTATTTGTTTTTCGAAATTTCGTGTTTTCAATATTCTGCGTTCGATAATTTGTATTTTCGACAGCCTCTCGGTGTTGTGTCTTTCGATATTGTGACATTTCGATATTATACGATTCAATATTTTACGATTAGATATTTTGTCATTTCGATATCTTGCTTTAGATATTTTGCGACTTCGACATAATGTTTTCTAAATTTTGTGATTGGATATTTTAGTGCGGACCCCTGGAACCCCCTTCACATCCCCTCAGTCAATGTGTTCGGCAGGGGACGCAGTGGAGCGCTGCTGAATTGGCTGCGACTGTGACTGTGACTGTGACTGACGGCCCGTGCCGTGTCCGCAGGCGTGCTCAGTCCCGGCTCGCACGAGTCGTACGTGGACGAGGGAGCCGAGTCACCGTATGATCACTACTCGGACAGCGACAGCGAGGCGGGTGGGTACAGCGACAGCGAGGCGGGTGGGTACAGCGACAGCGAGGCGGGTGGGTACAGCGACAGCGAGGCGGGTGGGTACAGCGACAGCGAGGCGGGCGGGTACAGCGACAGCGAGGCGGGCGGGTACAGCGACAGCGAGGCGGGCGGGTACAGCGACAGCGAGGCGGGCGGGTACAGCGACAGCGAGGCGGGTGGGTACAGCGCTCGGAGGCGGGTGGGTACAGCGCTCGGAGGCGGGCGGGTACAGCGCTCGGAGGCGGGCGGGTGCAGCGCTCGGAGGCGGGTGGGTACAGCGACAGCGAGGCGGGTGGGTACAGCGCTCGGAGGCGGGTGGGTACAGCGACAGCGAGGCGGGTGGGTACAGCGCTCGGAGGCGGGCGCTCGGAGGCGGGTGGGTACAGCGACAGCGAGGCGGGTGGGTACAGCGCTCGGAGGCGGGCGGGTGCAGCGACAGCGAGGCGGGTGGGTACAGCGCTCGGAGGCGGGCGCTCGGAGGCGGGCGGGTACAGTACTCGGAGGCGGGTGGGTACAGTACTCGGTACGCTGACCGTCTGACAGTGTACTCGTATGTACGGGCGGGTGCAGTACTAGGTACGCTGACCGTCTGACAGTGTATGTACGGGCGGGTGCAGTACTCGGTACGCTGACCGTCTGACAGTGTACTCGTATGTACGGGCGGGTGCAGCACTCGGGACCGGTATCTGAGGGGTGCGGTGTCACCGGGTGTGAGCGCGGGGCCCGGCGCCGTCCCACTCGGCGTGCCGTGAGCGTCCGTCTGCGTATGGGCCGGCAGGCTCGACGCTCGGGGACGACGCGCCCGGCCTCAGCTCGTCACTGGGCAGCCGCCGGGAGCGGTACTTCTGGCAGTACAACGTTCAGGCCAAGGGACCCAAGGGCCAGCGCATCCAGCTTACTGAGAACCTCAACGACCCGCACCACATCAGCCAGGCCGTCGACCCCGTCTTCTCGCCCAACATCAAAATGGAGGGCATCAAGCACAGGTGAGCGGCCGTGTGGGGAGGGGGGGGGGGGGGCGGCTGGGACCGGCGCTACCGGCGCTCGGTGCGCCTCCTCGTAAGGCCATCCGCCAGTGGCCGGAAGCCGTACCGCAGGGGACGCCAGCGGCGGGCAGTGGGGGCCGCCCCAGTGACTGACCCACTGGCCCCGGCGGGTTGACAGTGGTAAGGCGCGCCGCGGGGACGGTAACGACCTGACGCCCAGCCCGCGCAAGCTGCTCAACATCCAGCGCGACCTGGACAAGCTCAACCGGCTCATCAACGACATGACTCCCGTCTCGGAGCTGCCCTTCAACGTGCGCCCCAAGTCGCGCAAGGAGAAGAACAAACTGGCGTCGCGGTGAGTGGGCGCCCGCCGCCAACAGGCTCGGTAACTGTAAATATGCACGATATTACAACAAAAATTACCCGACGTTTCGTTTATTATAACCTTTTACTATGTTAGTTATAATAAACGAAACGTCGGGTAATTTTTGTTGTAATATCGTGCATATTTATGGAATAATTGTCACATTACAACTCAACTGTCAACAGGCACGGTAACCTATGTGCAGCCCTCAGCAGACTTGCTGATGGGTATTCTTTTTTTTCGACAAAACCGATAACAACTCAAAGGCTATGTTATCAGTCGGTCGGAACTCACTGAAAATAGATGCGCCATGCTCCACTTCTTTGATTGGGTCTATCACTAAACAAAGAATACGCATTGTTTGACAACAAAATGCAAAAGTTCGTTTTGGTGGCAAATGTTAACTTCTGGGTTTTGTTGCCAAACTGGATGGAAAATGAATGCGATAATACCAATCTAAGGTGCGGAGTCTCGCGCGTCTTGCTGTTACTGTTACGATTTCCGAGTGACCGATAGCATAGTAGGTATTCGGGTTATTCTAAGTTTTGTCAAAAAAAAAGAATACCTAGGTACCACGCAGTTTGCAGAGCACATTGCCCCAAAAGACGGTAAATAACTTTTGAAAATACCTATCTCCAATTTTAGTGTTTTCTGGACCAAAATTTTGCAAGGAATCCGATGGTGTGGTCCCCGAGATCCGAAAAATTTCCATTTTGGAGATAGCACCTATTTTTTTAAAAAAATATATATTCGTCAGGCATAATAGTCAAATAAATTGAAAATATAATGAGTTAATTTTTGTAACAACACTAGAATGTGTCGAACATGAATTAGAGATATATTTTAGCTGAGATGATACTATATCTGCGCATACATGTACATGAACTAGTGCATTAACCCTCGTCGGCCGAGAAGGGGTGGGGCGGGTGCCGCCTTATAGGGCTTTTCGCGATAGCTTAAAACTCGCTTAGGGTAGACAGCTGAAACTTGGTATACCTAATCTTTTATTCAAACTGGATCTTTTGACCTCAACTGCGTTTTCAGGTCAGGTCAGGTCACTGACCTATGACGTCATAAATAAACCTCTGCGAAGTCCTCAGATGTTGCAAATTTGCAACGCCCTCAGTGCCAGAGGAACTTTCACAGGAGGATGAAAGTTACAGGACTTAGTATCCTTCTGAGGTCTCACAACTTGTTTATCTCGGATTTAACCTAAATGTCACATGAGGTCAGGTCGGTCACGTGACCTCACCATTATAAGTCAATGGGGGAAATATTGAAACTGTTATTTTGGCGCCGGAAATGATCTAAAACTATCCCAAGCACATGAAATCGTGGTTTCATGATCGGACCATACAAAGAGTGCATGAAACCACGATTTCATGTGCTTGGGACAGTTTTTAGACAATTTCCGGCGTCAAAATAACAGTTTTCATATTTCCCTCCATTGACTTATTATGGTGAGGTCACGTGACCGAACTGACCTCATGTGACATTTGGGAAAAACCTGAGATATACAATTTGTGAGACCTCTAAAGGATACTACGTCCTGTAAGTTTCATCTTCCTGTGAAAGTTCCTCTGGCACTGAGGGCGTTGCAAAGTTGCAACTTCTGAGGACCGTGCAGAGGTTCATTTATGACGTCATAGGTCAGTGACCTGACCTGACCTGAAAACGCAGTTGGTGTCAAAAGATCCAGCTTGAATAAAATATTAGGTATGCCAAGTTTCAGCTGTTTTCCCTCAGCGTGTTTTGAGCTATCGCGAAAAACCCCTATGAGGCGGCATCCGCCCCACCCCTTCTCGGCCGACGAGGGTTAATGTACTACACCTTTTTGCACTCAAAATAGGCATCTTTTCATTCAATTTCGGCGAATTGCATTCAATTTTAGCGATCTCTCTATTCGAAGCAAATGAGAGATCGCTAAAATTGAATGCAATTCGCCGAAATTGAATGAAAAGATGCCTATTTTGAGTGCAAAAAGGTGTAATTCATGTACATGTATGAGCAGATATAGTATCATTTCAGCTAAAATATATCACTAATTCATGTTCGATACATTCTACATAGTGTTAGTATAAATATTCACTCATTATATTTTCAATTTATTTGACTTTTGTGCATGACGAATATTTACTTTTCAAAAAATAGGTGCTATCTCCAAAATGAAAATTTTTCAGATTTCAGGGACCACACCATCGGATTCCTCGCAAAATTTTGGTTCAGAAAACACTAAATTTGGAGATAGGTATTTTCAAAAGTTATTTACCGTCTGTTGGAGCAATGTGAGAGGGCTGTATGCGGCGTGCTCTGCGCTCAGCTCTGTATTGGTGGATTTGACGTCGATTTGGCCCGTCTGGCCGCGGTCGCTGGCGCCCGGCGGCTGGGAGGCTGGCCGCGCAGTGTGACTGTGTACAGTGTGTGCCCGGGGCCGCCGCCGCCGCCCGCTCTGACACCGAATATCCTGTGCACTCTATTTGGCCGCAGGGCGTGCCGTCTCAAGAAGAAGGCGCAACACGAGGCGAACAAAATCCAGCTCTCTGGACTGGGCGAGGAGCACAGTAAGTGCCGTGCAGGCGCACTACGCGGCAGCTTCCAGGGGCTGTGCGCCGAGCGAGTTCGGCTCGGCTTCCCTCCTCCCCCAAAACTGCCTGATCCGTGTTACAAGTGAGTGAGCTTGAGTCAGCCGTTGTAGTAATCACGTCCCTAAGATGCGCGCTAATTAAATACTACCTTAAAGGTCTAGCTAGGTATATGCGGCGGGAGCGGCCCGAGTCGGGCTGCCGCCGGTGGTACCTACCGCGGTGTCGACTGACGCGGCCGGCCGTGCACCGCAGGGCGGCTGACGGCGGCGCTGCGCGACATGCACGAGGCGCTGCGGGCGCGCCTGGTGCCGCCGGCCGACGGTGGCCCGCCGCTCACCGCCGAGCAGACCGGCCAGATGGTCGACAGAGTCGTCAAACAGGCGCACAGTGAGTGCACGCGCTGTCCCCGGCAGCCACCCGCCGCTTCCAATGACGGAACTCCTGTCCGGCCGTACTGAACTCCAACCCGGGCCGTACTGTACTGTACATACTCCTGTCCGGCCGTACTGAACTCCTACCCTGCCGTACTGTACTGTACATACTCCTGTCCGGCCATACTGAACTCCTACCCTGCCGTACTGTACTGTACATACTCCTGTCCGGCCATACTGAACTCCTACCCGGGTCGTACTGTACTGCACTGTACTGGTTTGTCCGACCGTACCGTACTGTGCTGGTTTGTCCGGCCGTACTGTTCTGTGCTGGTTTGTCCGGCCGTACTGTACTATACTGTACTGGTTTGTCCGTACTGTACTGTACTCTCCTGGTTTGTCCGGCCGTACTGTACTGTGCTGGTTTGTCCGGCCGTACTGTTCTGTGCTAGTTTGTCCGGCCGTACTGTACTATACTGTACTGGTTTGTCCGTACTGTACTGTACTCTCCTGGTTTGTCCGGCCGTACTGTTCTGTGCTGGTTTGTCCTTACTGTACTGTACTGTACTGTACTGAGGCCTCTTGCACCAAACTACCTAGCTAGGTAAAATCGAAAAACCGGTTTCAGAATAAGCTAACCTAACGGTGGTAAATTTGTTTGCAATAGCCCAATACATAGTCCTACATGTGCTTGCTAAAGTTTGCACACAAATTGTTACATTTGAAACTTGGACTGGGTATACGATGCAAAATAATCCAAGCATTGGTGCAAGAGGATTTTGGTGCAAGAGGCCTCTGGTTTGTCCGTACTGTACTGTGCTGTGCTGGTTTGCCCGGCCGTACTGTACTGTACTGGTTTGTCCGGCCGTACTGTTCTGTGCTGGTTTGTTCGGCCGTACTGTACTGTACTGGTTTGTCCGACCGTACTGCACTGTACCCATTTTGTCTGGCCGTACTGCACTGTACTGGTTTGTCCGGCCGTACCTACTGTTCTGTACTGGTTTGTCCGGCCGTACTGTACTGTACTGGTTTGTTAGGCCGTACTGTTCTGTACTGGTTTGTCCGGCCGTACTGTACTGTACTGGTTTGTCCGGCCGTACTGTTCTGTACTGGTTTGTCCGGCCGTACTGTACTGTACTGGTTTGTCCGGCCGTACTGTACTGTACTGGTTTGTCCGGCCGTACTGTTCTGTACCGGTTTGTCCGGCCGTACTGTTCTGTGCTGGTTTGTCCTTACTGTACTGTACTGTACTGTACTGTACTGTACTGGTTTGTCCGTACTGTACTGTACTGTGCTGTGCTGGTTTGCCCGGCCGTACTGTACTGTACTGGTTTGTCCGGCCGTACTGTTCTGTGCTGGTTTGTTCGGCCGTACTGTACTGTACTGGTTTGCCCGACCGTACTGCACTGTACTGGTTTGTCTGGCCGTACTGCACTGTACTGGTTTGTCCGGCCGTACCTACTGTTCTGTACTGGTTTGTCCGGCCGTACTGTACTGTACTGGTTTGTCCGGCCGTACTGTTCTGTACTGGTTTGTCCGGCCGTACTGTACTGTACTGGTTTGTCCGGCCGTACTGTTCTGTACTGGTTTGTCCGGCCGTACTGTACTGTACTGGTTTGTCCGGCCGTACTGTACTGTACTGGTTTGCCCGACCGTACTGCACTGTACTGGTTTGTCTGGCCGTACTGCACTGTACTGGTTTGTCCGGCCGTACCTACGGTTCTGTACTGGTTTGTCCGGCCGTACTGTACTGTACTGGTTTGTCCGGCCGTACTGTTCTGTACTGGTTTGTCCGTACTGTACTGTACTCTCCTGGTTTGTCCGGCCGTACTGTTCTGTGTTGGTTTGTCCTTACTGTACTGTACTGTACTGTACTGGTTTGTCCGTACTGTACTGTGCTGTGCTGGTTTGCCCGGCCGTACTGTACTGTACTGGTTTGTCCGGCCGTACTGTTCTGTGCTGGTTTGTTCGGCCGTACTGTACTGTACTGGTTTGCCCGACCGTACTGCACTGTACTGGTTTGTCTGGCCGTACTGCACTGTACTGGTTTGTCCGGCCGTACCTACTGTTCTGTACTGGTTTGTCCGGCCGTACTGTACTGTACTGGTTTGTCCGGCCGTACTGTTCTGTACTGGTTTGTCCGGCCGTACTGTACTGTACTGGTTTGTCCGGCCGTACTGTTCTGTACTGGTTTATCCAGCCGTACTGTACTGTACTGGTTTGTCCGGCCGTACTGTTCTGTGCTGGTTTGTTCGGCCGTACTGTACTGTACTGGTTTGCCCGACCGTACTGCACTGTACTGGTTTGTCTGGCCGTACTGCACTGTACTGGTTTGTCCGGCCGTACCTACTGTTCTGTACTGGTTTGTCCGGCCGTACTGTTCTGTACTGGTTTGTCCGGCCGTACTGTACTGTGCTGTACTGGCCGTACTGTACTGTGCTGGTTTGTCCGGCCGTACTGTGCTGTACTGGTTTGTCCGACCGTACTGTACTGTACTGGTTTGTCCGGCCGTACTCTACTGTGCTGTATAGTCGGTCAAATATGTATCTTTCCCGGCCGGCCCTCCCCTCGCTGGGCAGGTCGGTAACTTGGCTGAATCCGCCGGCCGCTGCGAGTACTACGGAGGGGAGGGGACAGGTTGTGCGGTTGCCGCGTCGGCCAATGAGCGCGGACCTGGCGAGCGGGCTGGGGCCACGGCGTGTTGACCTAATATGGTCAAAGGTTCATGCCCTGCGGGTATGGTCTGCGGCCAGCTGGCCCACTGATTGAGCCACAGCACCGGGTCGCGGAAAGGTTTCGATAGGTATCTGAATTGGAGAGTGGAGACCGTTAGCTTGAACTTGAGTGTAGTCGCTCTAGGTTTGAGATGCCGGGACCAGGGACCTGCAACACCATGATCCTGAATATATTGTGTGGATCGGGTGGCATTCAGATGAAGTTGAAATTTATCCCATTGACTTATAATGGGGAGGTTGTGAGATTGACCTGACCTCAGGTCATAGATAAAAAAATCCGAGACATACATTTTGTGGATATTGTCACCCTTACTAACTCCTGAAAGTTTCATATCGATCGGTCAACAGTTGTAGCTTTGGTGCAAGTTCAAACTTTTTGTGACGTTAGGTCACTCAAACCGACCTGTTGACCTGACCTTAAGTCATATAAGGTCAAAATTCGCACACAGTATGCGCAATAGATGGAAAAACAGGTATGCAAAATTTGGTGGCGCTGCACGCCGCCGTTTTTCGGCTATCTGCGAAAAACCTGGGGGGGGGGGCGCAAATCGCCCCCCCCCCGGCCCGGCGCAGGTTAAGATTTTCAGTAGATATGGCTTAACGCTTTCCCGTTAATGCCAAAAAAATGAAAAAAGTTTTTGCTTTATCAAAAAATATCCGGTCATAATTCGATTAAATATTTCTCTTGCGCTAATCATCATATCACCAAGCATTCGATCGTATCAAGAGCAACCATCTTAATTTTTAGGTCAGCGACCCCTGTTGAAACACCAGATAATCCTTTGATAGCTCATAGCACTCAGTCTACAATTTACACGGCGCATGAAAGCACAGCCATCATTAGACCATCGCGCTGCCCTCACATTCGTTAGATTCCTAACGCATCCGCTTGCTCGCCTCTCCCGGCCAGACCCGCCGGAGCACCCGGCGGCGAGGCCGTCCAGTGCTGGTCTGCGGTCACTCTCCAGCCGGCCGCTGTGTAGCTCCGCCCCCCGCGCGTGACGTCACAGGGCCGCCAGAGCCGCCAGGGCAGCTGGGGTGTGGGCTCAGCCAACTATCGAATCCAGACCGTAGCGCCACTTGGCGGCCGGGAAAGATACATATTTGACCGACTATACACTCACCTACTAAGTGATGTTCGCCCCCCGACGGCCCAGCGTTTGACTGGAGCGGTAGACTGCGCCGCCTCACACCCAGGTTCAGCGGTACAGTATACCCCTCTGGCCTCACGCTCGGCACAGACGCGTTGGGCTGGGTCAGGGACGCGCCGCGCTGCGCTGGCCGCCTTACCACTCATTACGGAGCGAGCGAAGTCTTACGTAGAATAACGGACATTTCTGAGTATGAGCGGCCGGCCGGCCGTGGTCACGCTTTTGCGATGCTTATATCTCAGCAACCACTTGACCGATTTACATGCGGTAATTTTTGTAGGGTAGTTTCATTCCTTCTACCAAGTATTGGACTATTTCCGATGCATGTGGGTGACCCCTTATGCACGTGGCACGTGCAAAACGAAGAGGTGTCAGTTTTGTAATAATTGCAATATCTCGGTAACTACTGGGCCGATTGCGCTGAAACTTGGCATGTAGGTAGGCACCCACAAGGCTCAAATTTGGTACGCGGTTAGGGACCGGTTAGCAGGGTGCCGTGCAACTGCAAAAGTCAGTTGGGGCCCATTTTGCATGTCCGCACGTGCAGGGTGCCGCTTCCAGATCTCGAGAACGGCTGGGCCGATTGTGCTCAAATTTGGCACATCGCTAGAGACCGGTTAGTAGGGTGCTGTGCACAAGTCAGTTGGAGATACCCCTCGCGATTTCGCACGTGCAAGGCCCACCCTCTCGCTCGCTCCGTTAGTCGCCCCAAAAGGCGTTATGCTGGTTTTATTTTTATAGGTGGAATGCGTTGGCGGTTGAACCAGCACGGCTCGTCGGAAAGTCATTTCATCCACCAAACAAACGAAGTATACCGTTCGAAAGCTGACGGTGAGCTGATTCCAAAACAGTATTTTATATAGAAATCGTTCGATGGCCTTTTTAAGAAATTGCGTTTTTGTAAAATCTTCAAAAAAATATTTTATTCAACGAGCTGTCCAGGACAATCTTTAAATCATAGTCATGTTTTTTTCGATTACCAGTGAAAGCTGAATGCCAAAAGAACAATATGTAGCGAAAAAGTATTCTGAAATATTAAGATGTGGTCTCTCACAGCCGGCAACAAGGCGCAATCACACAACTCAGTGTCACTACGGATCAAAGTAAGCCACACAAAGGCGTCAAATGAC